TAGTCGACCGCAGTTTGCATCCCAGATCCAGTGGCTTAAAACTCACACCGGGCCCGTGTGCGTACGTGCCCAAGGTCCCAAGAGGAGAATGGAGAAGAAGGGATTGTGGCGTGACCATCCCCCCGGGGGGGTGATTTCTCACTTTCTATCTCTCTGTCTCTCTCTGTCTGTCTGGCGAGTGCACACGCCCTATAGCAAAAACCTCTAAAAAAAATAATAAAATAAATAAATAAATAAATATGTTTTCCCATTCTTTCCTTGCTTGCATTGTTTCTGATGAGAAGTCCAACATTAGCCTTATGGGATATCTTTTGAAAGTAATTTGATGTTTCTGTCTTGCCAGTTTTAGTATCTTGTCTCTGTTGGTGGTTTTGGTCAATCTGGCTATGATATACCTTGAGGAAGATCTTCTTGGGTTGATTCTTTGTGGGGTCCTTTGTGTTTCTTGGGTATGGATATTTGAATGCCTCTCTAGGTTTGGAAAGTTTTCTTCCAGAATTATGGAATATATTATCAATACCTTATTAGTTTCTTCTCCTTCTTGGATACTGATGATCCAGATGTTTGAAGGTTTAATGGTATCTAGTATTATTCATACATTATTCTAATTTTCTTGAGTTATTTTCTCAGTATTTTTGGTGTACTTCCCTAGGTCAGAGGTTCTATCTTCTACATTTGAGATCTGTTCTTCTGCATGATCTAATCTGCTTTTGAAATTTTCAACAGAAGTTTTGGATTCCTGTATTATAGCCTTCATCTCTAACAATTACATTTGATTCTTTTTTATGATGTGCATCTCCTTTCTCGGATCGTACATGAACTTCCTCATCTCCTAGAACTCATTGTCTCTTTTCTCCTGCATCTTCTGCAGTTTGTTATCTCTATTCTCTTGAATCTCTGTTAGCTTTGTCACTATGAATATTTTAAATACTTTATCTGACATTTCCATGAATGCCCTTGTATTCTTTGTGGAGGAAGAGGAGTTATTCTTTTCCATTAGAGGAGAGATATATTCTTGATTTCTCATATTTCTTATGCCTCTGCAGTGGTTTCTACTCATCTGATGGATTATACATTTTTTTCTTTTTTTTTTTTGGAGTTAAATCTGAGCAATCAGAGGCATGCAGAAAAAGGTGACCTGCGGTCTGTAAACAGTATCATTTTTCTCCCTTTGCACAGCTTATTCAATGAAAATTAAGAATTAATCTGACCCTAAAAGTATTCAGATATTTGGCTATTGAGCACTTGGACCTGACTCATCTGATGGATTATACATTTTTTTCTTTTTTTTTTTTGGAGTTAAATCTGAGCAATCAGAGGCATGCAGAAAAAGGTGACCTGCGGTCTGTAAACAGTATCATTTTTCTCCCTTTGCACAGCTTATTCAATGAAAATTAAGAATTAATCTGACCCTAAAAGTATTCAGATATTTGGCTATTGAGCACTTGGACCTGTCTAGAAAAATCAGGAGGCTGAGTGGAAAAGTGAGAAAGGCAAAAAGAAAAAGAAAAAAAATAGGGAAAAACCAAAAACAAAGAGAAAAAAAGTAAGAAAAAGAGAAGAAAAAAACCTTTTTGTCAAAAAATGAAAACTGTGCAGTACACTAGCATGCAGCATGAATGGGGCCACTCAGAATTCAAATATAGATGGCTGCTGATTGGCTTGTCCTATGGGGGCAGGGGGAAAGTAAGAATTAGACAAAAGAGCAGCAGAAAGCTAAGTTTAAAAATTTATATATATAGGGAACCAGCAGTTAGCATAATGGCTATGTTGCTGGACTCCCACGTAGTTGACCGCGGTTCGTGTCCCGGACCCGGTGGCTTAAAACTCACGCCGGGTGCATGAGTTTTAAGCCACCCAAGTTTTAAGCCATGCCCAAGATCCCGAGAGGAGAATGGAGGAGAAGGGATTGTGGTGCGACCATCCCCCTTGGGGGGTGATTTCTCGCTTTCTGTCTCTATGTCGATGTAAAGGGACCGAGAGAATAAGTAGGTGCTCCAACCTGGCTCCTGACTAGACAGGGGAGCAGGAGGGTGAAGTGAGAGCAGAGGGTCTTCAAGGGTTGAAATCCCTGAATGGGGCTACTCAGTATTTACAGCTGCTCCCCATTGTTTTCATTAACCTGAGTGCCACCTCCCATTCAATCAGTGACAGCATTAGATTCTCATAGGAATCCCCAAATGGTACTGTCTAGTAGCAGGAAAACAAGTTCAGGGCTCCCATGGATTTTTGCATCATGGAGAGTGTATAATTATTTCATTATATATATTTCACATAATAACAATAGAAGTAAAATGCATGATAAATGTAATGTACTTGAATCAGGCTAAAACCATCTCCTACCGCCTGATCCGTGGAAAACTTGACCTCCATGAAACCAGTCCCAGGTGTCAAAAAGGTCTGTCTTACAGGATTTCTGCACCACCACCACCCCCGCTTCACACACACACACACACACACACACACACACACAAAAAAAAAAAAAAAAAAGAAAGAAAGAAAGAAAAAGAAAAAACCCTCAGACCACCTTCCGAATTTCCTGCACTTTTCATGACCTCATGAAGAAATACGGAGCATAAAATATGGGGAGTACATCTATAGCCATCTTTAAACTGTAGTCTCTTTGCTTCATAATCACATGCTTTGTTAATCATTTGTAGATTAACAAAGGCGGTAGGGATAAAATAGTACAATGTTAGTGTAGGCTTTCTTGGGGGCCCTAGAAACTCCCAAACCCTTTTTTTGATGGTTTCTATGGGAAAAAGCTACCAAGTTCTAAACAACTGACTTAAATGCATTGCTGGAGCATACGCTGTTTCTAAGTTGTCGACAGCCTGTACTTAGGCAACTGCTAGCTTAAATAGCTAAAAACTATCTGGCACCCACACAGAAGTTCTTGTACACACACTTTACTTTATGGTTGGATTCTTTCTATGACACTCACTAAGGCATAATTAAGAGAGAATGTCAGCCTCTAGGAGTATCCTTTGAGGCCCTTCCGCCAGCTGGAACCGCAACACCATGCTAAGCTTTAGCTACAAGTCTGCCCACACTGGTAACAGAAAATTGATTTCATGCTTCTGAGCAGCCATTAAGGCACAGGGTTTATATTTCATAGCAATCCCTGCTTTCTCTTCCTCTTTCTAACACATGCAAATGAAAATTTACCAATTTTTAGCTGCCAGAACAGCTGAATACTGTCATCATCAGAAAAATTAAATGCTCATCTCAAAGAAAAAACTACTCTTTAGAAATTCCTGTGCATCTCAGGGCAAAGAAAAAAGTATCATTAACAATTCATCTTTGCTACAAGATGAATGCATTTATAGCACATGGCTTTTCACCGCTGAGAAAAATTCTAACCCAGGACAGCCAGAAAATTCTCAGGGTTTGAAAAAACGTATCATCATGTTGAGTAAATTCTCTTTACAAGCTAAATGATGTATGGCAACTGAATGTATAATAATAATAATGATAAAAATAAATATACTTGTTGAAATAAATACACTAAACTTATGTTAAAATATTTTATTCTTCAATAATAAATTAACCTTAGCTTACTGTAAAAAAAATAAAAAGAAAGTAAAAGAAAAAAGGTATCATGACTAGACACTGAACTTTTAACTCCAAACTCACTCCCACCTACATCAACTTAAGTGAACTGGGGTAAATCACTTGATGTTTCTCATCACTTTTATATTCTATTCCCTCTCTCATAGACTTCTATCTTCCTGAAATGGCTTCCCTTTCATTTCCCTCATCTCTTAAAATCTTTTAAAAACACAGTTCTTTCTCACTCTCTCATTTTTTTTTATAGAGATTTTTGCTAGATAGCACATGCACTGGCCCGAAAGACAGAGAGAGACAGAAAGTGAAAAATCTCTTCCCCAGGAGGGATGGTCATGCAGCAATCCCTTCTCTTAAATTCCTACTCTCAGGATCTTGGGCATGCACACACACGTGCCTGCCATGAGTTTTAAGTCTCTGGTTCAGGGACTTGAACCATGGTCAATTTCATGGAAGTCCAGTGATGTAACCATTATGCCATCTGCTGATCCCCAAACACAGTTCTGTGAAGTCTTTCCTGAATTTAAGCCACATAGCTTCCTTTTTACTCATATCTCCATTCTATACTTGTCCATACTCCCCATTACATCATTTATAACAGGCATTATTATTGCACATTTATTCTTCTATTTATTGTATTGGGTTTTCAGAAAAGCCATGACACATTTTGCATGGAGAAACATAGAAAAAATACATCATGACTTTTCCAATAACCCAATAGTTTACCATGTTATTTTTATGGCTCTCTTTAGTTATCAAGCATTATGCTATTACTTCTGGCCTCACTAATATTAATAAAATTATTAGTACTATTATGAATGTTTACCATGTGCTAAGCCCTATATGAATATATTATCTCCAATTGTTACGAAAAGTCCTGTAAGTATTATTATTATTATCACTTCAGAGTTGAGGAAAGCACAATCAAAAGAGGTTATACAGATGGCTAGTAGGGACATAAAGAGTCAAAATAAAGTAAATTTTACTTTAAAGCCCAGGCTGTTAACTGCTACACTAAAATACTACCTTTAAATAATAATAGATTACATTTACTAAATGTTTCCTAGGTGTCAGACTCTGTACATGTGCTTTCTATACAAGAAGGAATTTGATCCTTACAAAAACTCTGGTACGCAGGCATGGTGACTATAACCTCAAATACATATTTTTAAAAAGTAAGATTGAGAATAGCTAAATGACCTACTCAAGGTCACAGAACTATGGAGACTAGATTTGAACCCACACCAGTCTTCTTCCAGAACCTGAGCCCTCACCCACAACTCTATTCCATAACCAGATGGTAGGCTCTTTTTCAGTCTTTGCAAACACTACACAAGTTTTCAGAAATAACCAGTCTTGAAACAAAACACTGGAGCATCACCCCTTCCGAGTAATTTAAATCAAACAAATCAATCAACTCCCTAAGCACTCACCTTAGTACATGTGTGGATCCATTAATGGTTGTGGTCGAACATGGGACAGTCTGGCCCAGAATGGAAGGTCTTCGGTAACGTTCATCATCACAGCAGAGGATGATGAGGAAGGCACGTCTAAAAGACTTATTCAAAAAGGCGTAGAGAAAGGGGTTCAACCCCGAATTGATATAGCCGAGCCAGAGGAAAGCGGTCCATACCTGCCCAGGGACAGTATAGTCTATGAAAGGATCCACAATATTGGTGACAAAGAATGGAGCCCAGCAGAGGCAGAAGCAACCCATGATGATGCATAGGGTTTTGGCCGCTTTGGTCTCTGTCCTCATGCGATGAGTGCTATGCTGGTCTGCCGATGGGGGCCTGCCTTCTGAGGGGGCTCCTGCCCGTTGTAACATCTGGATCTGGTGGGCATGCTCCTTAGCTGTGACATAGATGCGATAATAGGCCAGCACCATGAGGAGAAACGGGATGTAGAAGGCCACCACAGAGCAGGTGATGGCGTAGGGCTTGTTGACCATGAAGATACAGTACGTAGAGTTAGAGTTCTGGTTGAACTTCCTCTTTTCTATCTGAGAGTTGGAGAGAGAAAGGAAATGAGGAAAAGAGGGAGAAAGGGAAGGAAACAGTGAAGAAGAAACAAAGGAAAATGAGGAAAAGTGTAAGAAAAGAAATAGTGGGAAAAAAATAAAGGGGAATAGGAAAGTAGAAGAGGAAAACAGGAAAAGAATGAGAAGGAAGAATAAAAGAAAAGGATAAAGGGAAAAGGAAAGAAAGAAGGTTTATCAGCAAAGCTTTGTTTTTCTTATAAGCCTACAGCACATAGAAACTTGACAGTAGAAAAGGAACATGATCATATCCCAGGGCTCAGAAAACTTGTCTACACAACAGGCACTGACAGTCCCAGCAAAGAGGAGAAATGAAACAGGGACAGAATTATATTTCGTTCTGTCTACCAAAATAAGAGCAGAGTTCTGCCTCTCTTCTCCCTTCCCTAACTGCCTGCACATAATATACCAGTGCTTCTTAACAGGACGTTTGTAGATATGTCACATCAGAATCACCTACTGTGCTTATTGTAAATGCAGACTCCTTGCCCTCCACTTAGATCTATTGGATCTAATCTCTGAGTCATAAGACTTAGACATTTTCATTTTTAGTGAGCTAGTGTTGAGTTCTAAGCCTCATTAACATTTGAGAACCACTACTCTGTATCATTTGAAACCTAGTTTTTTGGAGGGTGCTGGACACATTGTGTGCCCTGATGTAAGATTTCCTCATATAGATGACAGTATTTAAATCATCAATATAGAGTAATGGCCAAGAGGTGGCTTAGGAGCGGGGAGAAAGAAAAAGTAGATACTTTAGAAGTAAGACAGAAAAGAGTATATAAATTGGGTAGGGCAAGATCATGAGGGAACTTGGAACCACACCAGAGTTGACACCGGGGCACCATAGCTGAGTGAATACTGCTCAGCTTATTCTTTTCCCATTCTCTCCTGAACCCACTCCATTTAGGAGCTCAGCTAAACCAGTCCATTACAACTGCTCTGGTTAAGGTCATCAATGACCTTCATGTTACCAGACCTCATTCTAAATGAGCCATCTACTTCTTTTGACACAACTGAGCCCTTCATCCTTCTTCTTGTTTGGATGGTTTATTGAACTTGAAAACACTTAGATGACATAAATATCAAATATATACACACATGGGTGAGTTATTTCAATGTAAATATACCTAGGTAATCATTCACATAATACTACAGAATATTACCAGCAACCCAGCAGCTTCCCAAATGCCTCCTCCCAGTCATTACTATGCCCACAGATATTCACTTATTTTTATCTTCATAGATTAATTTCATTTTCCAATTCAATTCCAAAGCAATAATAAAACATATATTATTTACATCTTCCTTAACTTAATATTGGATCGCTCATATTATTGAATGTACTAGTAATTTATCCTTTTTCATTTTAGTATAATATGGCATTGTAGAAATAGGCCAAAATTATTATCCCTTCAACTACTGGCAGGCATTTGAATCATTTTCAAGTTTTGGCTATTTTGCATAAACTGTCATAAATATTCTTGTACACGTTTTGTGTTTGTGTGTGTGTGTGTGTGTGCACATGTGTGTGAGCATGTATGTACAGATATGTTTTCATCTCTCTTCATTATATATGTAGGACTGAAATTGTTGGGTAATAGGGTAAAAGTATATTCAGTTTTGGTATCTATAGCCAACGGATTGTATCAATTTACATTCCCACCACCAGTTACTCCACATCCTCATCAACACTTGGAGTTTTCAGTGTGTATTGGTATTCCGTTGGGTTTTTCATTAATGACAGTGAGTTATCTGATTACATCAGTAAAATATTCTGTGTGTCCTTGACTCTCTTCCCATTGGGTTTAGATTAAGATTTTTCTTATGTTCTTTGTTGCCAAAAAATACCTGGGACATTCTTATCCATCTAATTATGGTACCCTGACAACACTACTTGAAGAAAGTATGTTACATTGAGTTTCTGCTTCTGTTTCCTCATTATTGCTCTGGTTCCCTCACTAGAACCAGAGCATTGCCTTCAGGATAGTGAAGTTATTGTTGCCACTTAGTTATTGTCAAACCCAATTCTTCTTGCAACTGTATCCTCAGTTTCAATCTTAGTAAGTCATCTCAAGTTTAGTGTGTCCTGTTTTCTGCACTTCTGGGCCATGTTTACCTTGCCATGCCCTGATCCGAATTTTGAATCAGATCAAATACAGTTGAATTAAATCTAAGTACATCATGACTCTTCAGATCCCTATTGAGGTTTTGCTATGTATTTCCTGATAACTAATGAAAATATATTTAGTTCATATTAATTTTAAGACTATTTTCATTATGTTTAGAATTCTAAATTGTAATTTTTTAATCATTTTAAAATTTTTAAATCATTTTAAATGTCATTCCATTGTCTTCTTGCTTCTATCATTTCATTACAGCATCAGGTGTAAATCTTATTTTTCCCTTTAAATCCATCTTTTGTTGTTAATTGATTTAAATTTATCTCTTTGCTATTAATTTTGAGCTGTTTTGAAAATAAATGTTCTTCCTATATATGCTTTTCTCTTTTAACTTAATTTACTGGGGTTTCTTGATTTTGTGACTGATGACTCTTTATCTTCTTCGAAAATTATTAGCCACTGTTTCTTTTTCTTTCTTTCTTTTTACTTTTTTAAGGTTTTTGTTTAGGGTGTGTGCCCTTGCCAGAGAGAAACAGAGAGAGACAATGAGAAAGAGAGAGAAATCATCCCCCAAAAGATACAGCCACAGCACAATTCCACCTCCTCCATTCTCATCCTGGGATTTTGGGCACATACACATACATGCCTGACATGACTAAATGGAATTGTGGTCAGTATTCTGGGAGTCCAGCACCTTAACTACTACGTAACCTGCTAGCTCCCAGCCCCCGTTTCTTTAAATATTACTTCTGCCGTGATTATTTCTCTCTCCTCTTTCTAGAGTATCAATTACATGAATTTTGTAACATTTGTGCATGCTATGTATATCACAATTGTATGTATTTTTATCCATTTACCTCCACATGCTTTAATCTGGGTATTTTTTACATAACTGAGCTCCAATTTACTACAGGTCTTCTCAACTATGTCTGCTATGCTATTAAGTTCACCATTATACTTATTTATTTTACTGTATTTATTAATTCTATGATTTCCATTACAATCTTTTCTTAGTAGATTCTGGTGCTTTAGTGAATTTCCACTTTCTTTTAAAGCATTAGTCAGTTATTTAAAAGTCTTCAATCTAATTATATTATTTAGATTGAATATAAAGCTGTTTCTGTTACATTTTTATGTTTTTGGTTTTTGATCATTTGGTATCATTTTTTTACAATGCCTGATAACTTTTGATCAAATAAAAGGCATTATGTAAAAAAAAGTGCAGATGCTCTGGATGGTACTAGCCTACTCCAGAGAGAATTAAATTTTCTTCTGAGAGTCAGCAGGTGGCATGGCAATTAAGGTGCTAGACTCACATGGCTAACCACGGTTCGAATCTTGGACCTGGCTGCTTGAAATTCACTGCAGGTGCGTGTGTGTGGGTACCCAAAATCCCAAGAGGAGAATGAAAGAGAAGGTATTGCAGTGTGGCCATCTCCCCAAGGGTTGGTTTCTTACTTCCCCTTTCTCTGTCTCACTGTGATGAATGCACATGTCCTATGGAAAAAGAACTTAAAATATATATATATGTATATTTTTTTCTTCTGATAGGTAGATAGAATCTGTAAAGAACACATCAATCATTTTAAAGTTGTGAATAATGTATTATAAAAGTCAGACTTGGGACCAACAGTTAGTGTAATGGCTATGTCACTGGACTCCCACGTAGCTGACCACGGTTCGAGTTCCAGACCAGGTGGCTTAAACTCATGCGCATGTGTGTACGTGCCCAAGACTGCGAGAGGAGAATGGAGGAGAAGGGATTGCAGGGTGACCATCCCCCTTAGGGGGTGATTTCTCGCTTTCTGTCTCTCTGTCTCTCTGGCGAGTGCACGTGCCCTGTAGCAAAAAAACTCTCAAAAAAAAAAAAAAAAAAGCCAGACTTTTCCAGTTTCCCTTCCTCATATGGGGTAGCCTTTTGGGTGTCTCAGTTGGAGTACCAGGGGTCCTTACCAGAGCCCTCTGTCTTAGCAAGATCTCAGTTCCAAATAACCAACATCTCTTCAGCACTGCAAGGCTGCTTAAATCTCTACCTAGTCTTGTGTCTCCTAGAAATTGCTTCCAGCTCAATTTTTTATTTCTGCTTGTTTCTTGTATCTAGCCCTATGCATCCTCAGTTGAGGAGTAAGCAAATGTTATAAGGAAAAAAGGATGAAAGTTAAGTTTATATCTCTAAAGCTTACACATCTCTGGGATCTTAGTCACCCAAGCCCCAAGCATCTTGGCACCGTCTTCTCCCAGTTCAAATGAGATCACTCAGGACTTGCTTTCCCTTTAGCCTTTATCTCTCTATCCATGACTCAGTAAAGGCCCCAAAGAAGCAAAATAGAGATCTTTTATTTTTGATACAAAAGCTACGCAAGACCATTTGCCTTGGTTACTTTCCAATGCCTTCAAACAGCATTTTATTTTTATATTTTTATTTAATTCCACATTTTAATTCAGTTTAGTCAGTCATAGTTATGAGAATTTCCATTATATTCAGAAACATAATTTTCCCTCCTTCCTATAATAACTTGGCTTCCAAGACTATTTTCTCTCCATTTTCTTCCTCACTGTCCATTCCTTCCAATGTTCCCTTATGAGCTCTTCATTCCTTAGACATATTCTCTTCTCTACCTACCTGAATTCCTCAGCTATCGCCTCTAGTCATATAACTTCAAAGATCATATAATCTCTGGAATCATGGAGAACGACCTACTTTTTAATTATTTCTAGTCAGGACCTCCCACAAACCTCAGAATTTGCTATCAAGCAGTATGTATACTTGACATTTTCACTTGCCTATATAATACATATCTCAAACTTACATTGTCCAAGTCCACTATTTGACTCTCCTTG